TAGTGACATGATGTGGTTTTAAGTTTTGTTAGACCCACAGTAATCTTTCCCAGCTTCCTCCCAAGCACCCCCCACCCCCATATACAGGGCATGCTATGCCAATTAGCTTCAACCCAGGTGCAGTAGTCCTCTGCCAATCAGATAGCTACCCGTAAGTCCCTTGGACGTGCCATAGGGTCCCAATGGGAAGTAATGGGAAATAAAGTTGAATATAACCAGATTTAAAGACCAGGTAGAGTACTTTAGACTTGATGCAACAGATAATAAGGAGCTCTTGTAGGCTCCTCAATAAAGAGATACTTGGTACAGGGATATATAAAAAAGATTGATTTCCATGAAACTTAATTCATTGCAAATGTGAATTAAACTTTTCTAAGAAATAAATCTAAATAATGAACTAAACAATGAAGTGTTAATAATGGCGGAACTGAAAGTTTTTTTAAAAAAATTCCATTCTGGGATAATTAAGGGATAAATCAGTTCAACTGAAAGACATCACTGTTATTAAAACTTCATTCATTTATTGAATTATGTTTCATGTGAACAGAGTATACTTTAAGATTATTTGATTATTATATAAGTCAATGTCATTTCCAGTTTTTGGAAAATTGAAATTAATGCCTTGTCACTGAAAATGGAACTGAGTTTATCAAATTAATTTCTCAAAGGCCACCTGATAGTCACCAGATGGCAACCCGTGCTAATGTCAAATTTGAAATTTAAGTTATAGATAGTCCTGTGACTATGCATTACCACTCACTCATCCCACTGGGTTCCTTTAATATCATAAAATACAAAGGCTTTCTACTACTTTCCTAAATTCCATTTGAACAAAATGAAATATGTTCTATCCACAATGCTTGCAATAATTAAAGTCTTTTTTTTCTTAATAGGAGTCTATCTAGAAATAGCACAATATGGAATGATCGTTAATAGACCTGTTATGGTACTTGAATAAATGCCTATCAAGAGCGCGGGCACCCATTAGTAAATTTCTTAAAGAAAATCCATTTTCATTTCAAATTCTGACATTTTATTTAGAAAAATTGCACCCTTTCTTTTAATTATTTCAGTAAACATAATGAGGGTATTGCTAACTACACCTCCGAGTACTTTATTTTCTCCATTTTTTAGTAATATGAGTCTACTTGTAATTAAAGGCACACTGCATTAATGATGCCGGGGGTCTCCAAGGGAAACACTTAATGTCCACCTCATAATATTATGCCAAAATTACATGCACAGAAGACTTTTTAATAATCTTTGTTTCCTAATTTAGTTTTGATTGGCTCTGAAATCCACAGCAGCTCTCGAGGGTTCACATTTCCATAGCCATCAGCACTTCCGCACCATCTATTGTACAAACGCACATGACTTCTCCCGTCTGCAGGCTTCTTTTCAAAGCTTCTGTTTAACTTATCCAGAAAATTAGCTGCAGGCTGGAGATAATTGCAGATAATTTTGCCATTTTTAAGCCACTGGGGTGTTGCATGGAGATATGACAGCGAAGTTTGTCTAAACACAAAGAACAAGTCATAGCTTTGTGTTGTCACTTCGGCTTTACACACAGGTTCTGATCATCCTATTTGCTCTTTATGCAAATTGAAACAAATTGTAGTCACCAGATGATCTGTGTTTTCTGACAAAGCTGTGCTACGGGAAGCTTTTATGTGGCTGGGAGAAGGACATGATCTATACTAACATATTATCCCAGCCTAAAAAAAAAAAAAAGGAAAGAAATGGCTAAACCTCTTCTACCTCTCAGATTCTTCCTCCTTAACAGAGATAGTTCTTGCGCCATCAACAACTTAAAAGGAATATATTAAATTAAAAAGAAAACATATGGTCTCATACACAATTCGTGTGTGTGTGTGTGTGTGTGTGTGTGTGTGTGTGTGTGTTTCCCCTATTCTATTCCCATGAATAGAAATATCAGTGTGATCCCATAAAATTAACATTCATAAATGCTGGTAGTACTAATACACAACTTAAAATTACTAGATATTAAAGAATTATTAAATAGGTCATCCAGGTTAGGAAGCAGAGATCTATTATCAAATGGAATCACGTGGTCCTTTTTCCCTGAAATTTCACAATAAACTATATGCTGCATCCCTGGATGGTCGCTGCCACGTGAGGATGGAGCACGTGCAAAAGGCAGCAACAGTGGTTCTTAATGCATTGCCAATGAACTATGGAAACTTCAGGGTGTTTCTCTTACCAAATGTCCCCTCGGTGCTCAGAATTGTTATACTCATAGATAATAAGGGTGTCACTAACGGAGTAGGTGATTTCCGAAACCATTTTGCAGCAAACATTTACATATAAGGGCTAAGTAGTGATTGTGCTTATGTGGCCGCAACACCGATGTAATGGGCCATAACCACTCTGAGCGAGCAGGTATGGATGCGTGTGTCAAGGAGGAAAGAACGAGAAAGTCATAACACAAATGACTTTATGGATTCCCATTAGACCTTGGGCTAAGGAGCACCTACATGGGTCTGATATGACAGCATCCTGAGACAGCTTTACAGCTTTGTGTCAGGAACCCTTACACTAAAGAGTTTTATGGAAAATCCAAAACTACAGAGAAGAAGTGTTGCTGTATTAGGCCATTATTGTTGACTTGGCATATAATATGCATACAAATAGTCCCAAAGTCTGCGTTTAAAGGATGGGTTATTAAATCTGCTATGCCAATCATATGCATATTAAGGAGTCCAAATTAAGCATTGATAGGTAACATCCCACAAATCTTACACTCTCCCTTGGAAAACAATTCTGCCCAGTGACAAGCTTAAATGCACCAAGGCCTCCAAATATCTGCATCAGACTAAGAGGTAGCCTTTCAAAAGGATTTGGGGGTAAACGTATAAAGTATTCATGTTACTATACTTGGGAAAGCTGAAGGATATAATTTTAATTCTTTTTTCTCTTTTGGTCTCTAACATCACATAGCTAGTGAACTGGGAGGGAACTGACTTGTTTAAGGACTTTAGACCACGTCCCCATGAGAGGCGGGCATGAGAAGTTCTGTAATGTGCCCTTTCCCACTCATGATGAGAGGCACGCTGAAGACACCAATTAAACCCTTCCACATGAGGACAGGAGCAGAGCTCAGCTAGCGTTCTCTTGCCAGGGGCTGAGATCGAGAAAGCTGTGCATTTAAAGCACAGGCTGAACACATCACACTGGGCTGATGGGAGTGGAAATGGCACTCTGAAGAAGGAGATCTATTTTACTTAGATCCGTCAATTATTAAACAATTCCAGAAGAGGCATATCGCTACAAGTGTCATGTAAGCCAATAGATAAAGCTAGAGTGTTCTTCATAATATGAAGAGCTGGCCCAGAACTCATTCTCTTGCTGTGAGGAGTGGAAGACTCCAGGACCTATCACCTGCACAGCAATTGCACCCCAGATTTGCAATGAGATTTTAAATTTAAACTTTTATGAGAGATTATCAAACAGCTTCTATAAAGCCAACAAACGTCCCTGCTCTTTTACAGACTTACTATAGTTTTGCTAATGTGTTGGAATAAACTCCTCTTCTGGAAGTTTCTGTTTCCTAAAATGTAGCTTTTTTTTTTTTTTTTTGCAAAGCACATGTCTGTTTCCCAGAAAGACGGGTCCTCTCTTTGAAATATTTAGTCTTTCAGGGCACTTTAGTCATAGTGACACCTAATAGGCAAGCTCTTTTTCTCACTCTCCACAAAATCAGGTTTAGACCATAATTCAAACCAGTCCCCAAAGGCACTTCTGAAAAATGGCAAGCCGTTAGCTTTTAGGTAAAAACACTCTTTATTGCTCAAAATTGTTTCCTGTTACAAAACCTTTTCCACAGTGCTAGGTCTAAGATGATCTTATGCTAATTTAACTCACTGGGGACTGTGAACAGATGCTACTTTGATTAATAGTTTCACTATGCTGAAAATGCCAGGTCAGGTTCAAGATAATAAAGTCAGGTAAGAATACTATTAAAATCTGCCATATGATTATATCTGTTCTGCAGAGAGAAATGGGATCACAATTCCAGTATCAAATAAAGACCACCTATAATAAAAAAAAAAAACAACGACATAAACCGAATGAACATACTGTCTGAATTCTTTAGCACTTTGATTTACATCATGTTAATCACCAAACTCTTTATTAATACCTTATAGGTAAATTTTCAGCCACGTCCTAAGTGAAAATTCAATGCATCACTCCAATGTTATCTTTTCACCTAGGATTTAACTCTCCACCCAGGAAAAGACTTATGTACACCACAAAAACAAGGAATTCTGTAATTCTGCTTATCAAAGGATGGTATCTGAATTTGTATGCCCAGGTCATTACTTTCCAGCAAATACGTTTCCAACATTCCAACAGTCATATTTAAAACACCCATAGAAAACCGTGACCCTTGAAAATAAGGGCCTGCATGAGTTGACAAATGAGACTTTTCTGGAGGCTTTAGCTCCTGTCTCCTTTGCTTCTCTTCTCACTGTTCTCCTAACCAAGGACTTCCACATCACAGCAATGTCCACATGAGGACAACCATGAACTCTAATCTGGCCTTGAACTACGAAATTCGGGGCTGGCCTTATGCAGGTATGTGAAGAAACCTTTGTGTTTTTAAAGTCGGTTTACCAATGGATTTTATCCTTTACCATGATGCATATTACCTAGTCATATTCCCAGATTCCAATCTGAAATTTAACCTTCAGTTGAACTTTTTCTTTTATAATTTATATATAGTACACCTGTCTCAGTGGAAGCTTTGGTTTGTAGGAAGGCAAAAGGTACATTCCAGTGCATCAATCACACTGTGACTTGTAATTCCAGGTCCTGCAAGCCAGCCTCCATTGTGAAGGAAGCGAACCTGTCAGCGCAGATCTGCCACGCACAGATTCAGCTCATTGCATGAGTCGAGTCTTTACCCTTACCACATTTGTACACATATATGACACACTCCCACTTAATATGAAATAGACTATTCAAAAGGGTTGCCTCACCATTGCACAGAATGTCTCGGGAGGGTCTCCACAGGTAATGTCCGGAGGATCCAGTTTTACTTTGAGATACTTGGTCATGTCCGTGGATTCCGGCTGACAGGCCATGTAATCCCAAACTTTCCCTTCTTCTGTGTAAATCTGAGTCTTACACACGTCATAATGTCCCCATACCAAAGGGTAGGGTTGCATCACTGAGGACACTGTAACCCAAAGGGCATGAATTGACAGGAATCTTGACAAATACATCTCTAAATTCTTGGCAATCCTCGCAGTAATAAAGCAGGGTTTGGTTATCTGTGAGCTATGTCTATTTTACATATACATATATGTCTATAGATTCCAAATTTAAAGTGAAGGGTCGATATTGTGCGTATTCAGGTATATTGAGGACTTTGGTGGAAGCCTAACATACTTGCGCATTAGGCGTTGACAACAACTTGCAGCTTTTTCGTTGTCCTAGAACATATCTATTAGACTCGGGTCTGGTTTGGTTTTTGTAAAAGATGTCCAGTGGCAGAGAATGATTTAGCAAAGTGATGGCTCTCCTGTTGTACATCCGATAACCCTGGGTGATCCTCAGTGCTCACTGCTCACAAAGGATGCTCAGACACACTAGGGTATCAGTATCTGAAGCAAAAGGATGAGTGTCTATAGCCGGGTGTCTGTTTCTCATCAATCATTCTTTCCTTCTGGCACCAACACCCTTTAAGAAACAATGAGAGTAAGAGTTATTGCCCCAGAATCAATGCATTACAAACCGTATGATATGTTGACATTTGGGAGGTTTGATGCAATATAAAGCAAATTGGTGTAATATGGATAACCTTTACTCCACTGCTTTGCTAGAATGAGCAAACCACAGAAATCATTCACATTGGGGAGAATTTTGATATGAAGGATTTAACTCTTCCATAACAAAGACAGATGTGCATGTCCCAGGTGAGCTACAGGTTCTCGCTTCAAAAATTATATTTCCATCTTGACAAAACAGAGCAAGCAGCTAGATTTAAACATTTCTCATGGATTGCAGGGCTAGAAAATCTTCCAGGAGAACAATGGGGGAAATGAATGCTTTTATAACAATGACAAAAAAGTGACAACTACCTCTATGCCTTTTGTCTATTGGCAAAGAGACCCTAAAAATCCCTAAATTCCTTGTACATTTCTTAGCTTTTGTTAGTTGGAGTGAAAACCAGCATTGTTGGCACAAGTCTGTCCCTTTGGATTTGCTCATTATATTGGAAGAATTTAGCCTCTTTTGTTTAGTTGCATTTAGTGATAAAGATAACTTGGCTCTTCTGAAAAAAAAAATACTCAGAAATAAAACGAAAGGAGCAAATTTTCTTTTCACAAGACTCTTCTATTTTCTTACATCTTTTTATAGCCATTACATCTGCATTTGCACTTACTTTCTGTAACAGAAGAAGAGAATTTGTCCCAAAGGCGAATATTATACGCTGCTTTAAAACTAAAAGCTCTGTAGTAAAATGCACAATTTAAAATGCACACATAAAAATAGCTGAGGGTGAGTTAACAGGCCATGAAGCAGAATAATATGGCACTAATTCTAAGAGAAAATAAAAATTACTGTTTAACAGTTCTTTGGGTTAACTGATAATGCAGCCCCCACAAATACAGATACTAGTCATTGCTGAGGTGAACTGGCAACTTTTCTCTTTAGAAACCACTGTCCAAGTCTAACCAAACAATAATATTTGGAATCCAGCTGTAAAAAAGAGGTATTTGTGTAATTAGTTGGTTCATATTGTCAGAGTCCCAGTAACTGTTTTTTAAACAACTGAAAAAGGCCAAAAACCCTGCAGTTTAGAAACTACCATCATAGACCCTTTAATTCACATTAGGCAGTTTAAATAGGGAAGTTTGCTATCTTCAAACAATATTATAAAAGGAATTCAATATATTTAAATCTTAAAATGAACTCAGCCACAGAGACTATGAAATGCCAACGGATGGTTGAATAGTGTTTCCATAGCAAAGTAATTTATAATAATTGCTTTATGGATGCAAGTGCAATTTTCATTATATTCAATTCATAAAATGTTATCATACAGCTCCAATTTGTGATATTTTCTATTAGGAAAAGTGTTGAATATTTGAGTTCTTATGAAGCAATAATTAGCAGTTTGTCTAAACATGTATAAACTGCAGATTTGAATCTGCATCCTCCTTATAACATATAGATGTGTTGGGCACATTTTGATGTCTTAAGCTAAAAGGAAAGAAATCACAGGGAAGCATGTGTTGTGGCTACTACATCCTTAATAATCTGTAAAGGTGTTAAAATAATACAAATGCACATTTTCTAGATGCATTTTTCAACTGTGTTTACTACTTCATTATAACAAGAACAAACACTTTCATGGAGTGTGGGGGAGCTGGGCATGACAACAGAAGAAGTGTTAAATCTATTAGACTAGAAATAATTAACTTCAATTCTTAGGTTCAAATACATAGCAACTTCTTTATCAAGGACAATATAATCTTGAAGACCAGGGATGAACTGCTCTGAGTTTGAATTGAGTGAAAATTAGGAGTTAATTCTAATACTGTTTTTAAAATGTGACCCTAAGTATATATTTGAATGCTCCCAGAGATTAACCTTCACTTTTTTTTGACCAGTAAATGTTATCCCCTAATCTGTTTATTCTTCGTAACTCTGTCTTTATCCACATTTTGCCTGACTGCAACCACAGAATAAAGGATGGCCACCAGATAGATGTACGTGAAAAATTTGGACACTAAGGAAATGTAGGTGAACCTGTTACTAGTTCTTGACACAACAGCAATCCCAATATAATGAATTCTCATTAAAGTATAGCAGAATTATAATAATGGTCATTACACAGAATTATGGACTACACCATTGATCGAATTTAGAGAACTGACAAGGAAAAATGCAGAGGAGTGCAAGATATTTGAATATTAGGCAGTTGCAGGACTGTGCGACAGACATTCTTGACAAGAAGCAGCCAATTATAGCTTAAATTTCTGGCACATAACCAGTTGTGATTAATAGTTTTCCATTACATTACAGACATATTATTAATGTATTAAAAATGTCAAACTTTGGCAAGCACTAATATGGCATGCCTCAGTTAGTCTGCAGAATTTACATTTAATGAGCTCCCATTGACACAGAAAAAGATATTGACCACGGCATATTACAGATCAGGAGCAGAGGGTCACTAAGCTGTTCTTTAACATAATTGCTTAATTTCAATCTAATTTTTATATTTATAGCGTGTATTCTAGAATGTATTTTCATGTCGGGCCTCCTCACTTTTTTTCAGTGCCACTTACACTTCAAAGAAAATCCTCTTAATTTAAAATTAAGAAGAAATTAAATTAATGAATTTCCATGACACAGTGGAAAACAGTCCTCTGTCAAAATCGGGACTTTGCTATTAAAGTATAATTATGGAGTTTTCAAGGAAAATAAAATGATATGAAAATAGAATATTATTTACCCTCTCACCTCTATTGCTTAATGGTACCGGTTCCAATCGGGCTATGCTTTCAACCGGGTTAAAATCATCAATAGCTTCTTAAAAGCTAGGTCATCACAGCAAGTAGCTAGGCAAAAGAATGATGAGAAGGGCGGTCAATGACAAATTTGGGATTTAGTATACTAAACCAACCCCTTCTGGCCCATAACTGAACTAATTGCCAAGTAATGGGGGCTTTGAATTTGTCTCAGGTGTCCATATCACCTAAATGTGAGCTGCTTCCGGAGGAGCTCTGGGCAGCCCCAGTTCCAGTTCTTTGCTCTGCAAACCTTGGGAACACACTGTTTTCAAATAATGCCATCATCTCTACCTATGCACTAAAGTACTGAGAAATCCTCTTTGATAAAAATACCCATTAATATGCTATGAGAACTCCATAGACTCTCACTGGTATATAAATTTGCAGAGACAGTGTGAAAATATAAAATTATGTCATGTCCTCAAGTTGATAGATGTTATTGATCTGGACTAAAGGGTCTGTAACATGGCTTTGCATCCACAGGACATCATTTTCCAGGATTCTGGAGCTAATTCCCTTCCACCTGGGAATAACTTTGGAGAAGGTATTTCACAGGCCCTTTCTCTCATCAGAAAAGAAGCCTCCCAAAATAGTACATGGGAGTAATAATGGTCAAAATTATAGACAATTACATTCTTTAAAAAAATGCCAACTTCATCAACTGAGAGGAAAATATTGACAGTAAATCTGTTAATTCTAGCTCATTGGTTTTATTATATAATCTCACTAGGAGGTGGGGGTGCTAGTAGTAGGCTATTTATTCCATAAATACTTAGCTCTTCAGGGGCACCTGAAATAGACAGCTATTGACTCATTCCTCATAGACATTAAGAATTTTAGAAATATGCATGTTTCTGAATGGGAAGGAACAAAAAGAACACTGACCATAATTACATTTCATTGAGCGAAAATTATAAAGAGATAAAGATATCCCCAAATTCAATAACCTACCAAAAGTAGCAGATTCCAACACTGTCGTAATGAGAGTGACTAGACGAGATATTTAAGATATACTGAATGCTCTTTGCATTTATTTATTGTTGTGAAGAAAGCATTTTCTAGTCATCTTAAATGAGAACCATTTGCTTCTACCCTTTTGTTAACTGTCTCTCAAAATATAAGGAATTTAACATGTACTGAAACATCATTGGCATATTTTACTCATCCTTGATTGGGTATTATGAGCGAATGCCTATCATGAGATTCTTAATAAAACCAAATAGGACACCTTCGTATTTGAAAGATCTCGGTTTTCACCAAGAGAAGAATGATTAGAGAAATCAGATAGCATACACTTGGCAGGATGTTTGGGGATGGGATAATACATAAAATTATTTCAGAATCAGTTAAGGCTAGAAGAAATCTGGTATTTCATTACCATAGAACAACAAATCTTTCCTTCTTGTGTAGGGAAGTTCAGACATCCAAGTTTTCAAACACACATTTAAGAAAATCTACACCCACCTGAAGTTTTGAAACAAAACTCTGGATTCTGAAGATAAAATTCTTTTTTAAAGTATGCTACATCTTTTACTGACGTATAATATGATACACACACACACACACACACCTTCTTCTGTTAACATAATAACTGACTTTCTGAGTTGCATGAAATTTTATTTCTTTCCAAGCGACTTGATGATCTTGTAACTCTAAAACTCTCCAAATCTTTACAACACTTAGAAAACATATCAACTAAAGGCGTAATCATTTAAATTTTTTGACATATCACCTGTGTGGTTGTTTTTTTTTTTTTTTCGGAATAGTAATGGAAGCAGACAAGTAGTTGTGCCAATTGCAATTATACAAAAGGAAACTGCAGAATACTTTAGCGTCGTCCTAAAAAAGGTAACCTGAATCACTTTAACACACATGCCCTGTGAAAGCTGACAAAACAAAAATCTCAACAGAAAAAAAAAGCTTTGTGTGCAAATAACATAAACTGCTGTCTTACAAAATTTTAAGATGATCTCTCTTAAATTTCATAATAGGAAGTATAACCACATTAATAGATACGTATGGAATTCTGAATGCTCTCATGTTGATCTTTAGTGGTGAAACAGATGTCATTTCATGGCATCCAGAAGAGAAAAGGAAATATATCCCTTACATATGTAAGCCGGAACAACATTAAGTGCAAAGCACTTGATGCGTTTTTTTCTTTGTATCCTGATCCACATGCAAATACTCAAATTTTGTCTTAATGAAAAACTGGAAGTTGCTTATCTCCCAAAAGAATCTTGGACAGTTAATGAGCTGCCGTTCCTTTGCCAACGAGAAAGGGGGGTGGGTGCGTGGGTAAAACATTCAAAGTGACACAAAATACTGAAACCTGAGGTTGCTAATTCCCCACAGGTTAGAGATGCTCTCAAGGGCTAGACAAATCACCAAAACCTTGCCCCTTCTCTAAAAAGAGAATTTCTGGGAAACTTTTTCTAACAAGCTTAACCATTAAGTAAATTTGAATAAAGGATTTTGTTGGAGGATTTTTCTGGTTAATTTCCCCCCATTTCTGTAAGACAACTTTTAGTATTTTCAGTCATAAAACAGGGCCTTATTTCTCGAGCAAATCTACTGCCAGTTACACCATATGTTTAGTGGAATTCTGAATCTTACTCAGAATTTTCCATTCCAAAGATTGACAAACTGTTATGATAACGGGTGGCTCCATGACCATTCCTAGTACAGAGAAGAATGGAAGAGGAGTCGGGTTAACAAAAGCTTCTGCTCTCTGGAAATCTATACCTGATGCGATGATGGGAACGCAACCTCCGACTTTTCCAAATAAAGTTGCTTTAAAATCCCCGCTAGGAATTTTCCCCCAAGCCCTGCAAGATGACGACCTCCTAAGTGGATGCGGTGGGGGTGGAGGTCCCCGGGTAAGGTTACTAGAATAAACAGCAGAGGGCGCAGTTTCTTTTTTTATCTAACTTTTCCCCGGTATGAATCACTTAATTGGCTATTTTGGGCCCAATAATATTCGGGATTATTTGCATTATATATAGATATCCACAGATCCATAGAGGACAGGAATTCAATGTCCCTAGCCGAATCCCGCAACCGATTAAAGTAATGCCAGTAAAGAACCCGAGAAAATATTCCCAACAGCATTCCTACACCAAGTCTGGTCCTCTTTCAATTCTGCCTTCTCCCCAGCTGCACATCATGGGATAGTAATGCTTTAATCTCGCACCAATAACGGAGATTAAAAGAAGGGGACTTCAAAAGCTCTCAGTGTGGCCACCAGCTCCACAGGGCGTGCAAGAGGGCAAGTCTTCTCCCCAAAGCAAAGACAATTGGCAAAAGGAAAAAAAGAACCCTCCAGTGCGTGGTGTGTGGCCAGGTGTGTGTGTGAGAGGGGGAGCGCGCCGGGTGTCTGTCAGTCCGTCCACCGAGGCACCGACCCAGCGCCCAGGCTCCCGATGCAACACACACACGCACACACACACACGCAACCCGCTCGGGGCGCACACCCAGGAAGACTCGTGTGTGGGTGTGAGAGTGTGCGGGTTGTGTGCGCGCCGCGGCTCCGCGCGCTGCCTCCTCAAGGCGCTTCACAAAGTTCCTCGCCCACCCGGAGCCTCCCTCCCGCCTGTGGATCGCAGGGGGGGGGAGGGGGCGGAGGCAGGCACGGAGGGAGGGAGCCCCGGGGAGAGGGGCAAAGACGAGACGCGCGGGTCGCCGGAGGAGGGGGACGCCGGCTGCACTTACCGTGTGGCGCGTTTGCCCTTGCGCCGGCCGGGAGCCGACCGACGGCGCGGGGCGGCGGCCCTGCCCAGCCGGGTGCGCTTCGGGCGGCGGCCGCAGCAGCGGAGCCCGCGAGTGGCGCACGGGCGGGCGGCGGCAGCTCCCGCCGAGCGTCCTCCGGGGCGCGGGAGGAGCGGGAGGGGTGGGGTGTGGACCCGAGCCGCCGCCGCCGCCGCCGCCGCCGCCGCCCCGGGGTCCCGCTCGCGCCCGGCGCGCGGTGGGAGAGGACTCTGAGGACCCGGAGCCCCGCGCCGGCCCGCCACTCCCCGCCGCTTAATTACCTTCGTCGCGGGCCCCTGAGGGGGAGCCTTCCTGCGCGTCGCCCCCTCTCGGAGCCCTCGCCGAGAGGGGGAATTCCTTCCCGTTGACGTCCTCTTCCGAAATGCAAAAGATCAGTGACTTTGACAGGTAGATGAGGGGGAGGGAACAGGGGTGGGCGGAGAGGAAGAGAGGATGAGAAAGGTGCCTCTCCCTCCAAAAATATATAGTGATATTAATAATGAAATCGCAGCCTTCGGGAGGTCTTGCCAGCCCAGTCCCCCGCTTGCCGGCTCTCCTCCGCGCCTCCTCGCGCCACTGCCTCTGCCACTTCTCGCTTTAAACTTTTGCTGGGGATTTTTTTTTCTATTTCTATTTTTTTTTCCCTCTATCTCTCTCCTTTTATTTATTTATTTTTTTTTTTTTAAGCTGCAGGACGATTTCCTGATTCCCGGGGATCAGAACCAGCGGCCGGGCGGTTCTACCTCGCTTGGCACAGCTTTCATTTTATTTCAGATGAAGACGTTGAGCTTAGTCAGAAGGGACATAAATCAGGACAATTAGCATTGGCGCCAAGAAGATCCTCTAGTAACAATTTCACCCGGGCTTCCTTCTCGCATTCCTCCACTCAAGTCAGAAATGTCACTGCACATAGCGTTGATGGCTGTGAGACGCGACGCACCCAAAGTCCAGTTGATGAAATATACATGGCCCACGACGCTTCTGAATTGCGGTTCCCGGGCTCCCCGCCCCCGCCCGCGGCGCCTGGCCGGACCGGCTCCGAGCCCGCAGCGAGATCTCGGCAAACTTAGGGGCGCGTGCAAATTAAAGAGTGAGCGCGAGGGCCGGAGGAGGGAGAGAGAAAGAAGCGAGCCCGGGGAAGCCGCAGCCCTCAGAGGGGTGGCATGAAGGTTTCACTTAAAAGCAGATCTTCTGCCACTGCCAGCAAGTGGAAGGATTGCAAACCTTACACTACCTCGAGACCTGGGCGCTCCGAGCGGTCCTAACTCCGTCCCGCTCGCTGCCGCTGCCGCTGCTCCGGCCGCCGGTGCCGCCGCTGCACGACCTCCCTGCGCTGAGGTTCTGCGACTACCTTTCACCTCCCCACCCCCAGCTCGCCCGCGGAAGCGCCGTTTCCAGTAACTCTTCACGTACCATCCACTCGTGCCCCCGCCCGTCCCATCCCTCACTCCTCGCTCTCCTCCCCCAAACCGTGCCTAAGCACACCCCTCACCCCTAGCAGTGATCCTGACTGTGTTTTTCAACCAAAAATTCCCCGCCCTTGCCAGCGGCCCCTAGGGCGCAAGCCTTGAACCTGCTCATTTAGAAATCCATTCTCCTGTGCAAAGTTGAAGTTCAAAAGAGAGCCGTGCATGTCGCGTCTCCTTGCTTTTCCCAAGAAAAAAACCCACAAATACCCCGGCCCCCAAGACTTCATGCCCCATCAGTTGGGAGGGGGGGCTCAAACTTACCTGAAATCCCTCTTAGCTACATAGTAACGTCAAAAAAGAAAAAAAGAAAAAATCCAGACTTAGATAGGGAAAGACTTTAATTAGAAAGACTATTGCAATACAGAGAGAGCTCTGATCTCAGAAATCTGTGAGCATTTCAAGCCAAACAAAAAAGCTTTTGTATGGTAAGGGGAATACGCAGTAAGGGAAAGTTGGGCAGATGAGAGGAAGTACACGGAAAGCATGGCTGACCTGCGGGGTTTGACAAGAAACGCGTCTCTGTGGTCCCCGGATTTGGGGAATAAGCTGACAAGGAAACATGTTCTGCATTTTAGTGCTTGCTCAGATTTTTCAGGCAAGCTAACATTCAGAGTTGGCTGGGGAGGAGAGACGCCTGACTCAAGTTTAGTCAAGGCAAAGCAGAGGGTAAAAAATGGGCAGTTGTGAACACTTAGTCACCAACTACACACCCCACAATGAAGGTACAGAGTAAGAGCAAGGGGTCACTTTTCTGCAATGGCTGGGAATGGGAGGTGGTGTCAGAAGGGTGTTTGGGGGAGAAGGTTGTTGAACAGAGCCTATAACCAGACCCTCTTTGGCTCCCAAGCAGCCAGGAAGGAGGCAGGGATTCCAGGCATCCAGCCCCTAGACCCCCCAACACAGAGAGAGGCGCCAGTGAATCCTCCTTCCCTTGACTTTCTCCAGTGCAGGAATTTGTGATTTCCTTGCTTTTCTCCCTCCCTCACCGCCCCCCCAACCCCCCCCACCCCGTAGCCTAACAGTTACCTAAGGGTGAAACTCTCTCGAGTCATGCTTAGACAGTGTTCATGTGTCTATGCTCCTCCAGGGTCGAAATATACTGATTGTATGGAGCTGCCACTCACCTTCCCTCACAGGCTCCCAGAGCCTAGAACCTACAGGGGAGGCAGTAGGGCTTAAGAAACAACACCCAGGGTGGTCCTCTCACTGCTCTTTGGCACCCCTCCCCCTTTCTGAACACTGAATACAAAGGGCTCTCAACCTTACCTCTTCCTCTTGTTCTTTTTGGCTTAAGCCAAGAAAACCCCTTCTGAGTTTTCATTCTAAGTTTTGTCTGATCTTTTTAGGTCCTTTTCTGGGAAAAAATAGAGAAAAGCCATCTATGCAGAGATTGAGAAATTCCCTCTTGGGATATATCAAGATCTTTGTGATATTGGCTCACTCCCTGGAGAAATGTTCCCTTCCAGCTAGCTATCAAAGTCTTGAAACTAACCTCCTTCCCATCTTCCTTTACTAAGACCCTCCCTCACTGCCATTGCCAGGGCTCCTTTGACTATGAGACGGACACCAGTCCCAAACAATCTGATAGGTGAAGGGAGACCATTTTCAGTTAAGTAGCTTCTCCCACTCCTAGGAGTGAGAGAGTCTTCCAGAGGTGAGTTGTTTTTGTTGTTTTTTTTCTCTCCCAAACATTTGTTCTGATCCTTTCAAAGACTCAGTAAATCACCAATAAACACGTGGATCTAAACTTTGGCCAGGAAATCGGAATCACTAGAGGAGACTTTTCAACATTAAAATTCCTTCCTCTCCAGATCATGATCCCTCCTCCAGTGGGGCTGGGGTGGGAAGAACCTTATCTCCAAAAAAAGTGCTTTGGGTGCATCTGATATACTCCCTCAAACAGAGAAGCCCTAAATGTATATATTAAACCAGATTTCCTGAATATATCTTTGCACATTTGTTTATATAATACATAGCAATCAGAAATTTACTTTAGATATTTTCTTGGCATCAGAGAAAGTAAGTTAGGGCATGCTTACCTTTCCTATCATCCTTTGCCTTCTCCACCTATATATATATATATATATATATATATATTTACCTTTCTTTGGGAAGAACGATTTTTTCTGTTTTTATTTAACCTTTCAACTTTACTTTTTTCTCTCTCTCCTTTTAGAAAAGAATTGTTTGATCTTTCCTTTCTCCAGCTTTAAATCTCTGGCAGGTTTCCACACATTCCTCATTCTTCCTCAACTCAGATTTTCATTTATTTGTAATCCTGTTAGGTCTCTAACAATTGTTCATTTTCCTAGGTTATTAGCTGCTTAAAAACCTTCTTTTTAGCAATTTGGCAAGGCTGCTCAAATACTTGTAATGTCAGTATGCTAAACCCATAGTGGTGGCATATTTGCAATATATCTGGTCCAAAAAAATATGTGTCTTCTTAGAAATACTGTGAAGTATTTAACATAAAGTAGCTATAAAGTCAGTGTTGATTGCAGGTGTGAATAATTTTTGCCCATTTCCAGGGTTCAGTTACAGCCTCTTTGGTAACAAGAACTAACTCCCATTATATTCAATTAAGACTTCCATGTCTGAAATATCCAAATCAGGGACAAGTTCTGTTTGGCCAATTGTATACTACATGATAGATGCTTTTTATAACTGCTGCTTGTGTCCCAGTAGAAACATCCTTCCTAGCAGTTGTAAAACCTTTAGCTCTTTCTTGCCTCTACTCTGTGCTCGGGGACATGTTTTATTACAGAGCCATTAGCAGTACAGTTTTGACAGGTTTTGAAGTTCCTTACCTAACAGGATTTTTTAATGCTTAAATATTTTGACATTTAAACCTCTCACAAGCCCTAACCATCTGGTATGGGCTCTATCGCTAGACTATATTGGCATTTTCCTGCTGTTGTAGGTGTTCCAAGCACACTTATCTTCAAACTTTAAATTTACAAGCCCAGAGTATCCAGTATCAGGTATGCCCAACGTAGATATATAGGCAATCTCATTTAGTTTTTCTGAGGACTGATGGTAGACCAAAGGACGTATTGTTTAATAGAAGAAAATGCACATGTTTACTGTGCTACTGGTTCTAGAATGTGAAGAATAGCAGATGGTATAAGCTATTGATAGTTAATGACTGATGCAGGGAACATGACCTTTGTCATCCATGTGCTTTCTAATATACAGCACTGTGTAAAATAGTTTGGAAATAATAAAACAAACTGCTTGGTTAAAATAACATAAAAAAATTTAACAAAATGTAGATTTTGGTAGTTTTTTAGGAGAAAGCATTCTAACCTAAACGATGACCTTTTTAGTCAGATATTTTCTGTCTTTTTTTGTATTCCAACTTCATGGTGCTTGGAGAGTTTAAGGGAGAATAGTTTTCTTATTTTTGTTTACTTTATCCCACCATAAGAAATCAACAGAAATCACTTCTTAATTTTTATGCTTTCAGAGCATGTGACATTAGATGTTTTTATCCAACCAGTAACATTTGTCAAAATCATGACCCTGAGCTTTTTTAAAAAAACTATTTCAATATTTTTGAGACTCAGAACACATAGTCAATATTTGTTTAACAGTTTGTCTTTTTTCTGAGGCTACACAAAGAGGCACCCCACTAGGAGGTTTGGATAATGCTAAGGTCTGAACAACCTCAGTGTCTACAAATTTATATTTTGTTGTGCTTAGTTTGTCTAAGATCATAAACTTATTTCTTGAAAAAAAGAAATCTTGCAGTTAATCTCGTGTTTTGGCTGGAAAAATTTATCTCCAAAATCAACAGCTGTGTAGATTTCTTCAAATGTAATTTTCATATTTTCAATCATTCTTCAACAACAAAATCAGCATCCTTTTCCAGTTGAGAAGGGAAATACATGGAGGAAGATTGAGTAACACCCTTTGCCTAATTTAGAGATCTTTCCCTCATTTTCATCCCAATGGTTCTTCTCTCCAATTCAATAAGTATTGATGGAACCCCCACTGCCTGCCAGGAACTGTATTAGGTGCTGGAGGGAATGCAAAGCTCTCCAGTCAGAGTGTACACTATGATGTTGGGAAAAGAGAGTTGGGCTAACTGTAATGTACATTTTTAATGTTATCCTAGAGAGTGTTTAAGGGAAATGCAATGGTCAAGTCTGGAGACTTTTTTTGTACCCAAGATGGGACAAAGATGCACACAACTCAGCTGATGGCTTTAGTGATCTCTATCAGGCCATTGGCCCAAATATATAATAGAGTGTCAACTCTGTGCTTTAGTAGCCTCTACAAGAGGTTCTTGCACTATCATATCAATGTGGGGTAGAACGCAATAACGGCTGAGCCAAAATTCTGTGAGCCACCACAGTGAAAATATCCATGATGAAAGAAATTCCAAGAATAGAAAAATAGTAGAGACAGAAGAGAAATCTAAGATCCCAGGGTACCATTGG